AAAAAAAAAAAAATAGCTAATCAGTATGCTTTCCTGTTTCTAATTTTTTTTTAAATCTCAAGAGCCTCTTAAGCCTCTCCCGGGATTTAGCTTCTATTTATTTTATCTTATTTATTTATTTATTTGGAGACAGGGTCTCACTTTGTCAACCTCAGTAGAGTGCAGTAGCATCACAGCTTACAGCAACGTCAAACTCTTGGGCTTAAATGACTCTCTTGCCTCAGTCTCCCAAGTAGCTGGGACTATAGGCACCCATCACAATGCTGGGCTATTTTTTGGTTGTAGTTGTCATTGTTCTTTGTCATGCTGGGGCTGGGTTCAAACCCGCCAGCTCCAGTGTATGTGGTTGGCGCCCTAGGAACTGAGCCAGATTTGGCATCTAAAAACAAGACCTCATTTTTAACATTCCCAAGTTATCTCATCATGAATAAAAAAACCCTATGTGGTCCCTGCTTGCTCTATATTGACTTAATGTATATATTATCTTAGAGATTTTTGCTCTATATGTGAGTGACCATGTCATTTTTCTTTATTATTTTCTAATACTCAATGGAATAATAAACCCAAACATTTATAGTCAGTTGAAAGTCATTTTTAAATTACTTAATTTAGACTTCAGGAAGAATTACTGGCAGAGAAAATAAAAGCTCAAATACGAAAGAATACAAGTCTATTATTTTACCAAATAAATAAAAATTTAGGGGGGAAATGTTTGTGTTTAACAGTTTGACTCTGAATATTTAAAATATTAAATATTCCATTCTTCATTATTATAGAGCTCCCAACTCACTAAGGTCTCAACCAAGTATAAGTCCTAGTTTTATATTTTAAATGGTATCCAAAAAATTATCATAAATCAGTGATATTATCTATTAATATCTAACCAATGTAGAAGAACAAATAAGAATACTAACAATTGTGGCTTGGCACCTATAGCTCAAGCAGCTAAGGCACCAGTCACATACACCAGAGCTGGCAGGTTTGAATCCAGCCTGGGCCTGTCATAACAACAATGACAACTATAACCAAAAAATAGCTGGGCATTGTGGCAGGTGCCTGTAGTCCACAGTACTCTCTCCTCAGGGAGGCTGAGGCAAGGGAACTGCTTAAACCCAGGAGTTGGAGGTTGCTGTGAGCTGTGATGCCAAGGCACTCTACCCAGGGTGACAGCTTGAGGTTCTGTCTCAAAAAGGAAAAAAAAAAAACAAAAAAAAACTAACAATTTCCAGCCTAAATAAGAAATGTTATATTTAATAATAAAAATTATTTTAAATTATGAATTATGAAAATAAACCCCAATTTAGCATTAGCAGAAAATAACTTACCTAAACTCTCAGGGGCTAAATACTTGTCCTACTTAGCTGACATTTCCCATGAGCCTATTATATGCTAGTCAATATATAAGATGCTGAGATATAAAAATGAATGGCTGTTCCCCTTAAGAAATTCATCAGCTACTAGAAAGTGGCCAATTTTTACAAAAGTGTCCCTAGGCAACAGAAACATGATCAAGGTTCTGAAGTTTAAGAGGAAGAAATGACTGCCTAAGAAAAAAACAGGGCTCAGTGCCTGTAGCTCAGAGGCTAGGGCATCTGCCACATACACTGGAGCTGGTGGGTTCTAACCCAGCTCAGGCCTGCCAAACAACAACAACAACTACACAAAAAAATAGCCGGATATTGTGGTGGGTGCCTATAGTCCCAGTTACCTGGAAGAGGAAGAAATGACTGCTTAAGAAAAAAAATAGGGCAAGAGAATCGCTTAAGCCCAAGAGTTTGAGGTTGCTGTGAGCTGTAATGCCATGGTACTCTACTGAGGGTGACATAATGAGACTCTGTTTCAAAAAAAAGAAAGCTTCAATAGTGAGAGTAACTTAAGAGCTACATTTGTAAAGATAAGAGGTCACAAAGAAAAAAAATGTGAAAAAGAAAGAAAAAAGGGTGGGAGGAGTAGAGAGGTAAGAGTTTATAAGGCGTGATTTAGGAGGTGGTTACACAAGTACATGCATATATAAAATTAATGTACTTTACATTTTACTTTACATTTTACTATATGTATATTTACCTCAGGAAAAAAGAAAATAAAGTTCATCAGAGAGCATGAGTAGAAGGTCATTTTACATAGATTGAATGACTTATATACAGATAACAAAGGCAAGAAATGGCTTGGTGTGATGCTCTAATTTGGTATTGAGGAAAATGAGGCTAGAGAAGCAAACAGACACCAAATATGAAGGGCTTTGTTTGTCCTGGTGGCAGCAGGAAACATTAAAGAATTTCAAGAAGGGCTCAGCGCCTGTGGCTCAAGTGGCTAAGGCGCCAGCCACATACACCCAAGGTGGCAGGTTCGAATCCCCAGCCCGGCCCGCCAAACAACAATGATGGCTGCAACCAAAAAAAAAAAAATGGCCAGGCGTTGTGGCGGG